AAAAAAAAAAAAAGGAAAAAAAAGGAAGAAAAAAAGAAAAAAAAAGTAGATCTCAGTTTTTTTTTCAAGAGTAACAAGCTATCGTTTTAAGTCTGTCTAATCAGAAGAGTTAACACGCTAATAAAGTGCACAAACAATAATTTAGTACTACACTGCAGAACTATTAATTTATAGATCGCTTTCGTTGTATTTTAAGTTCTTTGGTGATAAAATTGTCTTCAGATTTTTAAAGTGCTGTTAGACTGAGTTTAGCTGTACTCACTATAGATCCCATAATGGCTTCTCTGTAGCTACTTTAAGGTTCCTTTTCTCTCCACGGACCCCAGGTAGGTAGGTAGGAGTGTGTGATGGAGCACAGTGTGTACCTCGCACTGCCCGTACCTGAAGCAATAATCCCGTCGTGCGCTCGCGTGCATGCTGCCCGGATGTTCCCGCTGCAAGTAGGATGGTTCCCTCCCCAAACAGGAGTTTTCGTGTCCTTACCAACGAGTTTCCCAGAGCCAGAGGCACGTTCCCGTGAGCGTGCTGGCCGTGTCCCTGCCGTGGGGGGAGCGCGTGTGTGAGGAGCAGGGTAACGAGTTGAGACGAGAACAAAACTCACAGCGTCAAACCAGATCCGATGTCGGAATCAGAGGGGCTTTTCTGTTTTCAGTTAGTTATTCCATTTTGTGATTAAAAGTTCGATGAATACCTAAATTCAGTTGGTTTTCTCCCCCCCTCCCCCCCATGTTTTGTAATATATTTTCTGTGGATTATATCTTACTGTTTTAAAAATCACTTTTATTCAGTTAGAAGAAGTCACTGGTTTGCAAAGCCCATTTTTTCCTAGTGATTGTTGTTTTGAGTGTGACATGAACTGATGGTTCTGAACTTTATTGTTTTAAACTCTCTGCTTTTGAACATGTATGTTCTAATATAAAGTGGACTTCTGAAAAATGAATGTAAGAGACACTGGTGTATTTCAGAAGGGGATGGTGTTGTCATATACTGTGGTTAATCCAATCAATCTAAGTGTTTACTCTAGACCAAAAGGATAGATATTATAAAATGTATAAAGTTTATACAGAATAATTATAGTATGTTCGTTTTGTACAGTATTTTTCAAGTACAAATACTGACAATGTATTTTGAAAGACATATATATAGCAAAAAGAGAAAGCTATTCCATGTTTAAAATATATAGCAAAGATATATATTCTCCATTGTTGTACAGAAAGGAAATGCTTAGGGGTTTGTTGGTTGTTGTTTCTTTCCTTTTTTTTTTTTTTTTTTTTTTTTTTTTTTTTTTTTTTTTTTTTTTTTTTTTTAAATCTTTTAATATTTTAAGCCTACCACTGGCACACCGGCATATTCTGTGCTTTAAATTAAATTTTTATGGAAGTGATATGGATTTCCAGGACGTTCCATATTACTGAAAAGGAGAGACTTTACTATTTTCCATCAGAAACACATAAAGAAACTGTTTAACAGGGACAAAGCACAACATGGATTTTAGTCAGCTATTGATTGGACAATACAATATTTTGTAATGGCAGGAAAATAACACATCACACAAAACCACTCGTAGGCACTTCTGATCTGCTGCTGCTGCTACAATCTGTTTCCAGCTGAATACTTTTTCTCTTATAAATAGCTCAGATCCTGTACACACTTTGTGTACTGCATATACAGTTAGTAACACGTGAGGAAAACACGGTGCTACATGTCTTGCTCACAGTTTTCTAAGTGTTCTGACATTATTCTCCAATAAGAGGGTTGTTCATTCCATTAAATCATTTTTCACGCTTCGAGAGGCGGCGACAAAGAACTCAGCATTTTGGTCGGCACTAAAAATCCCCTCGCACGAATGGCACTTTTCCAGTATTTTTCCACAGACACACCTGGCTTGTCAGTGTCCCTTGACATGCAGTGCTTGCCTGTGGACCATTTATTGGGTAAACTGAATTTCCACGTGCTGCAGTGAGTTATTCCCTAAAGGTCAGGACGAGGCACACGAGAGTGTGTGGCACGGGGCTCGGAGCTGCTGTGGACACACACTGGGCAGCAGCACAGCAAACTGCAGCAGCCGCCAATCCCCCCACCAGGGGTGTTTTTGGGGTGACCCAGGAGCAGGAGCGAGGTCAGGGGTGCCATCAGTGGGGGGAGTGGGTGGGTTGTGACCACAAAACTTTCTGTAACACGTAAAAAAGGCAGCTTGGGAAAAAAAAAAAATATGACAGAGAACGCTTTTGTTTCTTTGGGCAGGGAAGGGGTGGGAGATGGTTTTTGTAGGCTGGATGTCACAGATTTATTGTTATGGCCACAGAGGGGCACAGAGGTTTCCAGCAGCTGCCTGGTCCAGCGGTCCTGGAGCTGCTCCGGTGCCTCCTCAGCCCTGGGAGGGCAGGAGGGACTGGGAATGTGCACAGGCTGCAGCTTCTCCTTTGGGGTGAGGACTTGCCAAGGAGCCTGAGGGATTTAGGCACTCCCCACTTGGCTGTGGGAGTGAGGTACCTTGGATGCTCTGAAAAGCTTATTTGTAAAAAAAATAGCACTAAAAAAAAAAAAATTATAAATATGTGGGCTAAAATCTGGAAAAAAACACAGGTTCTCTAGCCAGGTTGTCTCCCCAAAATAATAAATAAGTGGAAGTTCAGCTCATTTTCAATTCCCAAGGACAGCTCAGCTGGGCTCATCACACCTCTGATGGCTTTGTTGCTCATGAAGGAGCTTGTAGGTATAAGAGATTGTAATTTTATAAAAATAGAAATATATATATTTGCAGAATAATTAATAGCTTATCTAAATAATTCACTGACCTCTATTAAACTTATAAGCATTGGTAAAATGCTTGTCTTCTCTTCTGTTTTTTTGCTGAACTTAGAAGCGAATTTTTTTCTTTTTAAAAAAGAATGCCCTCTAGAAATCAGCAGGACTGGAGATGGATTTGTGATCCGAGCACCTTGGGGCTCTCTGTGGGAAAGCCCGTGGCAGAGAGGGGGGTATTTCTTTTTCTGTTTTGAATGGTGCTGAAGTCACTAAATACCAGCACCATGGAAATAAAGTTCTGACTTGAATCCACAAAAGCAAGAAATTCAAAATGCAGGGCAGGAGCCCCAGTGAGGCTCCAGCTGGACTCGCTCCCTGTGCCCACACAGGGGGGGCTCTCACCCCTCACACTTGAATCTCTTGCCTCTGTGGGTTTGTAATACCCCCAGTTATTGCTTTAAAACTATTTTTGCATGTAATTTACGATAGAGATGTGCAGTTTTATTTTTATTTTGTCCATTTTTTTTATGTGAAGAGATTAAAATATATATATATATATTAAAACTTACAAGTGATCAACCATCGTATTTCTGGCAACACCACAAGACAGCATTAAATACAAGTTTAACAAATAGATCAAATTACCTGTATGACAAGAAATGGATTGCATCCTGTATGCTGTTCAGCCCAAATCTTTTTTTTTTTTTTTGTCTGTTATTCTTAATGTTTAATAAACTTTTAAATTTTTCTTCTCTCACCTGTGTGCTTGTTTTGGTGTATCGGGGCACGGGGCTTTTGGGTGAGGGGTATTGGAATTTTTCTCCCCCATCCTCTGGCTTGTGAGTACCCAGAGCCTCCAGCCTGGGGTTGTGTCACATCAGGGGATGGACCCCAGGTGGGTGCAAATGTCCCCAAACCTGCCCAGCTGCCACCAGGGTTGGGGATAACCCCAGCAAATGGTTATTTACATGAGATAAAATATTTCTAGTTATAGTTTAGTTAGTGCTACTTACTATTTTAATAAAATATTTAGCTTAATCAGTAATAAAGTGATACAATGCAAGCTATATTCATCTTTTATAGATATATATATACACTATATACACTTTATACAGCATGAGATGTGATCGTTCATTTGTAATAAAGTCACAAAAATGCACATTAAGGAGTTTTTATATAGTATACAACAACTCATTAATTTTACTCTCCATTGTGTCTGATATTTTGTATATACCACATGGCAGATAACACATACTGCAGGCTTTTAGATATATAGTTTATATAAAATAGGTACAGCCAGTGAGAGAAAACTGTAACTTGCCACTAACACTTCATACAAGTTATTAAAATATGTGTATGCATATGTGTGTGTGTATTTATCTGTATGCATAGGTAGATATAAAGGTCATTGATATAAAGGTCTAATTTTAATATATAAATCATAATAGCTTTTAGCTTTATATTTTTATAGGTATTTATAAATATATAAACTAGACTTTATTAATACAAAGGTTTTAGTGAGACAGTGTATTTGATTCACACACACTGTGCATCTGCACAAGCACACATCTCTGTACATCCATATGGCTATGCTTTGGCCAATTAGACTTTCATATTGCATATTAACAGCATTTATTAATACATCTTTTCATCATTTTTAAATACATTTTATTGCTGTGAAGGTC